CGGTCATCAGAGTGTAACACGGATGCTGGCTGCGATGACGAGCAGGTAGAAAAGGCAGAGGTGATAGAGACTGCATCTGTGCCGTAAAAGGGAGTGCCAATCAAGCGTTCCCAGTTCGACTCCGCCACCTGTCCCTCCTCAATGTCTGTCCCATCACGCAGCCGGCAAGTTGTGGTATCGAAGTGTGTTGCGACAAGACTCAAGGGAAAGACCCAGTCGTCCAGCGCGTTCATGCGGGGACCGTTCGAGAGCCTCTCTCCTGGTTCCAATGACCAGGCCACCTGTCCGATCGTAGCAGCCCAAGCGATGCAAACATCCAATGGAGGGAGGTACGAAGCAGGCAGCTCCCGCGCTGAGTTGGTGTCCTTGTCGTCAGGCGCCGGCGCCGGCACATCGGCGACAGCACGTTCCGTCGCCTCGGGAACGACGCGGTGTACAAAGAGCTGAAGGCGCATCACGCCTCGATAGAGGTAGGCGTGCCAGATGTGGTCCTTGCGTCGCGAGACGGACAGTGGGCCCTGGGGATCGATCGACGAGTGTGGTGGCTTCGCCATTTCTACTTCATCGTACGCCGGTGGCCCTTCGTCTGCATCAAAGTCACTCCTGTCTGTAGCATCTGACGACGACCGATCACGCCCATGTTGCTGCTGCTGGTGCTTGTGGTATTTATGGGTTTGACGATCCTGGCGCGGAGACAGAATGCGGCGACGGAGCTTGGCGCAGAGGAGGAGCAGGCAGGCCAATTCTGCCATGTCCTTGGAGCCTGGCAGGGCAGCTTCCTGCAGCAGCGCACGTCCACGCTGCGCCGGCGACTGGATCTGATGCTGGAGCGACTGCTGGGCGCGGCTCAGCTTCCGGCGAAGCGAGCTGGCGGACCTCGTCATGATATGGCGACGCCAATGCTCCTCGCATGCCTCTGTTGGTTGCTTGTTAGAAGGCGAATGAATGCGCGCTTTGCTTTTTTCTTCTCAACCCCCTGACACCCGACCGGTGCTTGCGGAAAAGTGGTCAGGTCAAGGAAAGCCGCCATTGAAAATTGTCTGCGTAATGAGGTCAAAAGTGGCGACTGACGATCGCAGCGTCTCTGCAATTGCTCTGAGAGTACGAATGAGTTTATCGTTAATTATTCTAACCCTTTGCGTTGTACTTTCTGGATCGGGCACCTAATCCCTAGAAAGGTAAAGGCAGATAGCAGATAAGATCGCTCGCGATCTTCAGACAGTAAGAATCCAAGGTTAGGGAGGCTTGTTCTTAACCTTACGAGGAACGAGAGAGACATTTCGCCGTATGGAAAGTAGTGTATATCTTAATGGACCTTAGTGGCATTTAAGGATCAAGACAAGTTGTGATCTGTATCTTGAACCAATCATCGAATGATCATTGAGGTCGATATCGACCTTTTCCGACATTTCTTCTTTTGTTGAATTGTTATAAGCCTCTTGCGGTGCAGATAGATGACCAGCTCGTCACGCCATTGAAAGAAAGAATCAGACGAACGACATTTGCTCTCCCCCTCTGCAATAGTGCAGATCATCTGTTCATCTCTAACCTAAAAGAGAATGCTCTCTGAGAAGAGAATGCTCAATCTGAGGCTCATCCCACAAGGACAGGCACGAGTAGAGAAGCGGTTCGGCAAAAGAGGATCTTGCAAGAATATTTTTCTTGTTTTTAACGTGTCTTTTATGCCGAGGAGAGATATTCATCATGCGCAGAGACTCTATGGGAATACCCTCGATAGTGTTTCTGAACGCACTGCAGATGATGCCACAACAGGAGATCCCGAGAAGGCCAGAATGGACGTGGGAGCTGGAATCGCGAAGAGTCAAATCTCTTGCCGTGGTATTCAAAAAGCGACCTGTCGGGGCTGTAGAAGACGTGAACGACCCACTCTTGATCGCCCTGTGGACAGATCAGCGATAAGGACAAAGCTGGAGAAGTATATACTCACCCTCGGATAGATGCTGATCTCGTATCGGTCGAAGCACTTATGAATTCCGTCCTCAAGAAGGAGACCCATCCATGTTTCGAACAGCCACTCATCCTCGTAGCCCAGCAGCTCTGCATAAATCTTTGCAAGAATCGTGAGGGTGTTTCTAAGATTTTCACAAGGAGACATCACAGTGGACAAAACTCACATCGGGACGGCTGAAAGGTACGATGTGCGAGCCCGTGCACAGGTTGTAAGGCTTCTCGGTAATGAGACAGCGTCCGTCCCGTGCGATAACGCCGATTCTGAGGGATTGCTATGAGAGGTAACGGACACATGAATTTGCAAGTACATGCATATGCCTCCTTGCTCTCACCTGATTTGCAGAAGACCTCTTTGAGTCACTCATTGTACTTCTCGAGCCCACGCTGCGCTCTCCAACCACTCTTCCTCTTTGCTTTCCGATGGGGCCTCGTCGCAAGGTGCATGGTTGCATCGGACTATCTGAGGTGACATTGTCGTCAGCGGATGGCGTCCGATTAATGACTCTCCGCTCACCTCCCCTGCGAAAAAAGTAGCGTCCGGACGTTACGTCTTGGTTAAGGTCGAGAGCATCTCTTTCGCCAAATGCACAGACAAAGCCATCCTCTTCCACACAAGCTCGAATGCAGTAGACGACGAAATCCCAATTTAAATCGCCACTGGAGGCGAGCGAGCCTGTGGGAATGGTGCATAGACGATTCTGATCGCAGTCATAGACGATTATGGCCCCCTCGTGGCGCCAAAATTGGGCAGAAAGAGGATACGCTTTACGTGCATTTGACATCGATGAGCGGGAGCAATCAAGGTCAGCGATGGGATGGCCGCGTTGACGTCGGCAATTCGGAAGTGCTTTTTATGTGTTATGAGACAGAAATGAGGAGTCCTCATCGAGATCGTCTCGGCCCTATACCGACCTGCCAGACGCACGTGACTTCTGATAGAAATCTACTTACCGGTACATACCGGTACAGTCCCCCTCGACCCCTCGCACGCTTTTTGGCACGTGTTTTTCTATTACTCAGCATTCCACTACGCCATCCTCAACAGCATGATTTTTGGGGGGCATTACAAAAGCCCTGGGCAGGCCATGACAGCCTTAAAAGAATGAGAAAAAAAAGCAAAGTGGTGGTGTAGATTTCCTACGACCGGGTTTCGCTGTTACGGCGTGAAATAGGTGAAATTGGGGCACTTTTGCGCTCGACGCACACTCTTTCTGGTGGTGTCGCCCGTCTTGCGATAAAATAGCACTGCTCGAGTAAGTTTCAAAACGACGGTTACGATGAACATTACTTCAACTTCCTTCTGATGTTTACTTTATTTTTTTGTCTTTTCTTGTCTATTCGATCACTCTTTCTACAGAGCTTCTGCAAGCGACACCTTCGCCCAGTGGATTGCTAAGAGCAAGATGAAAAGCATGATTGCGCTTTCGGATAGCAAGATATGATGCTCTCGAAACATACAAACCCTAACCCTAACCCTAACCCTACGCGCAATCTGGACATGAGGTCGCATGTGACCAACATGACCCAGAAACTGCTTATCGACAAATTCCTCGCCACGTTACCAACGCCCATTTACAGTACAGTCAATTTGTCTCACAACTCAGCTTTGACCCACCTGCGACACTCGAGCCTGTCCTTCAGCTGGCCATCAAGTACGACGCGAAGCATAAGGAAGTGAGCAAGCGAGGCGACGGTCCACCGGAAAACAATCGTCGTCCGGAGCAATGTCCAACAAGGGTCTACCCTGGGGATCGACCTCACTATTACCTATGCGGGGTGCGGCCTGCGCCCAGGCCTGCAAATTATGCCACCGTGTCCAGGGCGTCCTCGGCGCTCCTGCCGCCTGTGGTAAAGGCCCAGCCGGCCGAAGGCATGCCGGCCAATGCCAAGTGTTTCAACTGTGGTCGCACGGGTCACTATGCCCGCGACTGCAAGTAGCCTCTGCGAGACAAGGCCACGTCCCGTTAGGGCGTGCCCATCAGCAACAACGCCCGCCTCAACGCCCAGTGGTACCAGCCGACTGACAATCGCGTCAAAAATCGGATGCCCGTCATTGAGATCGAACTTTTGGGCGTCAAGGCGAGGGCGCTTGTTGACACCGGTGCCGGCTGCGGGACATGGGAGAGATCTCGTTCGAATCTGCATTTGTGACCAGCGCAGAGCCTGACAAGCGCTTCAACGCCTTGGCCAGGCTTGGTGGTGGTACCGCAGTCTCGTTCGAGGCCTATCTCATCACATTCAGTGATCATGCCGATTGGTTCGACGTGATTTGAGCATGGATCTACTTCGAGCAGCAAAGGCCAACTTTGACTGGGAGGCAAACACGCTTACGCTCCTCGTTCAGAAGCTGCCCTTGCTGACGACCCACCAGTTGTGGGGAACGTCGGGTGGACGTCGCCCCAAGGGATTTGTGGGTAATGTCGCCCGCTCCACGGCAAGTTCATCACCATGCTCGGCAAGCCCATTCCCTTTCAGTAGCTATGCCTTGCTCCCCCTCCTCACCTCCCCTTCAAGGATGCACGGTGGTGTCTATAACTCTTTGTCCGTTGCAATTGAAGATAGTTTCTCCTTCTTCCGTCTAGTGCTTTGATTTCATGTTGGCAAAGTTGCAATCTCTTGAGCCTTGGAAGTTCGTTCCCTTTCAGCGTCGTCCGCTGTCGATGTTTCTCCTCGCCAACGTCGTCACCACATGTCAAGAGCCTCTCCATGACCGCCAGTGCGCCTACAAGTGACCCTTACCCTGTGCGTCATGCGAATCTTACAGCCACCACAGAGCCGAGAATGAGACGGGCGGGAAGCTCAATCGGCCAATGAAGGTGTGATCTGAATCTGCGTGGCGGGAATACCAATTCGGGCGTCGTGGAACCACGTGGCGATCGGGCCCAGAAACCGACAAGCTGTCATCAGGCGTGGGATGGGTGAGCGGTCATACCGTCGAAAGTTCAACTCCACTTGCTAACCAAAGTCGAGTTTGACGCCGACGCCACTTCTCGACTCGAAAATAAGTATAAGAGATGCTGGAACCAACGATGCTGGTGCCGCCTCTGGTGAGCAAGCGGTGCAACCTTGACAAGGGCGAGGGCAGTTCGTCGAGCGTGCCCGACGCCGACGAGCGGCGGCGGGAGCACACGCGCATGGCCCAGCGACGGTATCGGATCCGCAAGCGGCAGGAGACCGACGCCGAGCGCGATCGCCTCGATGAGGATACGACGCCGCGCTGGTTTGCGCCCGACCCAGAGGCCTTTCTCGACGCGCGCAAGCACCCCCCTCCCCCCCGTGTCAGCCTGTCGGACGCCGTAGCGTCGGGCGTGCTGAACAACACGCAAATCTTCACCACGTCCGAGTCCATGTGGGCCGCATACTAAATGGTCGACTGGATTGCGTCGGCCAAGTCATCTCCATACGGTCAAGGCACGTCAGAAACGGCATCACAAACAGCCCTGCGCGACCTTATCCAGTCGAGCAGCCAAGGGGGCCGCGCCACGCTCACGACCACCCACCTGGACTTCTTCCGCGCCTACTTCGGCAACGCCGTCACGCTGTCCTTTCCACACGTCGACATCTCCAATGCAAGGCACCCAGCCGCATCAAGCAAATTTGGCACGAGCGCACGCAGAAGAGCCGGCGTGTGCCCGAGAACATGCACCCCGTCGACGAGCAGCTCACCGTCGTCCACTCGGTCGCCCTCGACATCCTTCCCTGGCCCGCGGTGCGCAGCCGTGTGCTTCGAGCGATCAAGGCCAAGCTGCTGGACCACGACACATTCAAAATCGACATTATGTTCGGCACCGACGCAGAGCGCATCGTCATTTCGCCCTTTCGCATCCACAATGCGCCCACCGATGACGCCTTTCGCCTCGACGACGACGCTTCCTTTGAGGCCACGATGGATCCCGGCAATTGGGAGTGCTCAAAGACATGGCTCGAAAAGTACTGGTTCATCGTCGACGAGAGCATCGTGCAGCGGACCAACTACTGGTGGGAGAAGCAGGGCCTGGCTCCGGTCATCACCTTTGGCAACCCGGTCTGGCCCGGCTCTCACGCCCTTTTCTCCTTTCGGTCGAATTCATGAGGGTCGGTGGGGTGCTTTCGTGGGAGTATGTGCTCTTTGCAACACAATCGGTCGTCGAAGAGGGAGGGCCATTGCTTCTGTCTCTGCGGATGGCCCCGGCCTTACCAGCGTACCGGCGCCTGGAAAAGTACCGATTCGTTCGACATGATGCGCCGACGCTCCCGCCGAACCTGAGTCGAGGTCCTCGCTTTCACTACAAGCGACGAGGGCCTGATTCTGCCAGCCGTAGCTCCAATACAATGAGCCATTCGTCGCGCAGCTCAACAAATCAAAATCACTTTCGATTCCTGCTCGGCGTTCGGGATGGCTATTGCATCGTTTCGGAAAGCGCAAAGGCTGTCGCATGCCACATCCTACCGGTCAGCCGACCGGAATACTACGAAGAAGTTCTGGGTTTCGACCCAGGATATCTTTACAATGTCAGTTATGGTATCTTCCTGACACGCGATCTTCATCACGCCTTCGATAGGGGAGAATGGAGTCTGTACCCTAAGCCAGGCGACCCGACGACGTTGGTTGTCCACGTCTTTTACTGTGAAGACCCTGCGGACGAAAGCAGAGATTTCCACGGAAAGGAGATTCCGTGCTCGAGACTCAGGTTCCGGAGCGTTAGGGAGCTACCAGAGAGGCGACTGCTCGCTTTTCACTATCGGCAATGCCTTATTAAGCATACAAGACTAACCTCTTCATTTGAATAATGTGAGAGGTACACCGTTCAACGGTATTTGATCATCTCTTCTCGCTGTTCCTCGCTGCACCGCGCCCATTTTGTTGGCTGCCTGCAACGTCTTCGGTGAATAGTGTGCCCACCAATCTCATAATCTCCTTTGTGTGCTGACAATACCTCCTTCAGCGTTAGGGAAGTAGAGTTACCGGCGTTTTGGTCATTGCATCGGTCGGTTCACGGTATCGAAAGGCAAAACAGAGAATCATCTTTTCACACATATTGAGAATCTTTCTGGAAGAGCTCGTAACCTCAAAGTGTCACATCAATGTATGTGATTCCGTCGCTGCCTTGTCACAAGCTCCAGCGCGCCTGGCATGTCTGCCAGTCGGCCACGCATCACAAAATCAACGCCGAGGTCGAAGAATGAACACTCCCTTGCCATCGAGGGCGTCTTTCTCAACATCGGTCCCTAGCATAACTCCCACCTGACTTGCGATGTTTACAACTACGGCGGTACAACGACAAGCAATCTAAGTGGATAGGAGCAGTTTGATTTCTCTGCTAGCGTTCCCACCGAGTGGATCAGCAAGACGGTCTGCACGTCTTCAGCCGTATTAGCCTTAGCCTTGACGAGACGCCGGATGAGCGCCTTGAATGGTATTGCAGATTCTACGAATTGTTCGAGCATAATTGTGGTTACCTTGACCCGGGAAGGCAGTCTTTCTTCCTCCTGATCGTGCTCGGCGGAATCTCCGACAGGATTGACACTTTCGCTTCCACCTTAAGATCGAGCTTAGCGTCTCGAACGATCTTGATCGCCTGCTCGCGCAAAATCCGCTGACTCCTCCACTCGTCTCAATTGCGATGAGTTGGGAGACTACTCAAGAAGCCAAGAACAAGAAAGTCAGACTGAAGTATCGCAATCGCTGGTCCTATATTGACGTCCTTGACTGTTGTGATGAGGTTTTCGATCGATGTGAGCATTTTCATGGGGTTTTTTATGGTGATCGAGCGCGCCAAATCGATAGTTTGACGACACTTTGCAGATGATATCAAGCGCAGGGCGGGAGGACCAGTGTAATATGTCCATGAGATTCTCTAAAGATTGGCTTCGTAGCAACTTCGCCAACACAGCATTAATCTAAATGAAGAGAAGACTCATAACATAAGTGTGTATCTCAGCCGTGAATCGGGAAAGATTGCCGTATTCGCTCTAGCATATCCTCGACCTTGGGGCGATATGTATGACTGATCCAAAGCACGATTTGTGCGAGGATGATCTGAAGCTGAAGAAGCCCCCACTTATCTGTCGTTTGCCCGAGCCAAAGCTGCACGAGATGCTAAGAGAATGGAACGTGTTAGGTGAACAGAGCCGATTGAAGCAGGAATTCTGCCGATACTCACAATGCCACAATGATTGGCTTCCAGCCCTATTCTGAAACCGAGCAAGACCTCCCACAACGCGCCTTGGGTGCAAGCCGCGATCACAGGCAAGGGGTGCTCGAGCGTGCCGCCAACCTCTTGAAATTCTCGTTCGAGCCCTTCCAGTATCTTCAGAGCTTTTGCGACCCCGCCCGCCGCTTGATTCTCGGCAAAAAAAAGGACGCTTGAGTCAGATTTGGCCTCGAAAATGAAGCAAGGAAACGCAACATCGGGAATGCTGAGGGACGGCCACGGATGAAGGCCCTTACGAAGTCGAATTGCTTCGAGAAATTCTTCGCTCATGGGCAAAATTTTGTGTATCTGCTCCGATGTAGCATTGTTTGTTGGGTCACTCGGCTTGATACCTATGGCAATATCTGGCTTAGGCGTAGAAAGCGGTGCACCATCGGCTGAGAATAGATCGACAGGCTCGTTCCAGTCTTCATCCTCACTGATATGCTTTTCAGATCATGCGCTCAGCGGCCGTTCCTCGAGCAACTCACCAAACTCCGACTTCTGGCATTGTTGTTAGCGGAAGAAGCGCTCGTCGGGCGAAGTGCATCCAGCTAGACTCTGTTCTGCCTTGAAATCGCCTGACTCCTTCATGCAATGAAAGTGCGGCATCCAATGCGCCCTGACAATCGACTTTGAAGACTGCACCCTCAGGTAGTATGGCTTGCAGCGGGATTCTCCTTGAGGCAGATCCCAGGCTTGCGACCTTCATTCGTGTGTCATCAGAAGGCTGATTCTGTTTTCGCGGTCCTCAAATCTCCACTTACATCCGATGCTTTGATGATTTGCTCGAAGTCATTTATGGTTAACATTGTCGCAAGCGCCTCAATGTAGTCAGGCCAATCAGATCGATCGAGCTCATTGATATATATGCGGGCGCGCTTGAGATTCTTGATCCTGTAGGTTCTGCTGGCAGCTTTGCTCCGGCTGGATGATGTGCTGCTCATTGTTGATAGGTGGGATTGTTCGTGTGATACCAATGATTGGAAGGACTCTTGTCGTTTTCTGCGTCATTTCACGTGTCTAATAGTGAAAACCGCCTGATGATCGCGTGGCGTCGCGTCCCGCACACTTCGTCAACATTATGAGGTTCTGCAGCTTAGGAAATAATAAGAATCCAACTCTGACGCTCTTTTGAGTTTATAACGGCAACGCAGGGCTCCTTTTTCTCATCTGATCAAATTTGCTGCCGACACCCCCTTCCTTTGCTCTATCACTATCGCCGATCGCCTCGCTCCTCGAGTACGCCTCTAAGCCGGGATACACGGCGACACCTCATCAGTCTCTGCGCGCCGTGCCGAGAAAGACTGCGAGGCCTAGTCCAGGCTTTGGAGGGACGACCCCTCGCAGTGTCCGGTTCGAGGGACAAGACGCTGCGCGTGTGGAACATCAAGACTCGCCAGCTCGTCCACTTGCTCTTGGGTCACCTCCACGCGGTTCGCTGCTTGGCTTAAGCTAGCGACAAGATTGTTAGCGGCAGCTACGATTCGACATGCCACATTTGGGACGACGAAACAGACGAATACCTTCGCGTGCTGTCAAGGCACAACGACCAAATTCTTGCCATCGCTTTCGACAATATTCATGTCGCCACAGTTAGCCTAGACTCAACAGTCCGCTTGTGCAATGCGGCGGATGGGCGAGACCCCTCTCCTCAAAAGCTCACGTCTCGAAAGCTGAGCGGAAAGGTCTGACTTCCTCAGAGAGTGTCTTACTACGATCGCAGGACATACATCCCTCGTTGGACAGCTTCAGCTAGGCGGCGATATCCTCATGACGGGCGGGTCTGACGGTAAGATTATGCGATTTTCGATCGGGACCTCCTCAAATCCATATCAGGTTCAGGCTCATGAGAATAGCGTCACAAGTCTGTGCTTCAATGAACGCTTCGTCATAATGGGCGGCAATGACGTTCACGCAAAGTTGTAACGGGCGAATTCATTCGCGAGCTGTTCGAGCCCTGCGAACAGGTCTGGAAGATCTCTTCTCGAGGAAACAAATGTGTCATTATCTATTGCCGAAGCCGTCGAGCCTCTATCGACGTTCATCTCGGTCGAATGGGTGTTGACAAGAGATTTGTCTGATTGCGACTGAGACTCTCTACTCTGTCTTTCAACAAGAATCATCGCATCAGACAAAGCGATTACTTTTACACACCGCTGAAATCACGTCCATCTGTTCTCAAAAGAGATAGCTATCTTGGAACATTAAAGAACCCGTGGAAGATGATATGATAATATTTTCTAGTCAGCAATAGCCCGGCCAAATCGTCTGACTTGGACGTAATGTAGCAGATCTGCGAATCGAATGTTCAGCTTTTCCGCTCCCTTTTAATCTCATCTGAATGGACGTATCGACTTTTGACTTTCATGGCACTGATGGGAGGCACGGCCGTCAATGAGATGGTCGTTGATGGCCAGGAAGAATATCAAGTATGCTATTACTGACATTCATACAGTGACGGCACCTGGCGCGGTTGTTGCCAATGACATTGAAGGCACAAAGGCTGTTGATTACCATATATATCCGACTGCTTTAATGGTGCGAAACCTCTTATGGCACCAGCCAAAATAGCAAATATAACTCTGCTTGCCTTTTGTGTTCAGCATCCTGTTAAGCACCCATGACAAATTGGCAGCAATACAACTCGGAAAGAAGAGGGCACGTCCTTGATCGTCTTTTCTGCTGGATGGCAAGAGGAGCTAAAATGCTTGACTTTATGTCGTAGTTCGTGTAGTCCGTTCCTCGAAAGGTAAGACCGTAGTCGGTGAACGACAAGCTTCGATGCGAGAGGCGCACCGTTCGACGATATTTGATCATGTCTCGCTGTTTCTCGCCGCAATATGCTCACTTTGTTCGCTGTCTGCAACGTCTTCGATCATCCTATTGAGCAGTTTCCATAGGCCGACAACACCTCATGTAGCCTTGGAGAAGCAGACAGAAATACCAGCCTTTCGTCTTTGTATCAGTCTATTCACTGTATTGACAGGCGAGGCATACAATCATCTTTGTGCTCATCTCGAGAACTTTCTGAAAGAGCTCGTCATCTCAAATCGTTCGACATATATGGTGTCAAACGCCCTAATCCTGTCGCCACTCTGTACCAACACCAGCGTGCCTGGCATACTTGTCAGTGGGCCGCGCATCACATTGCCAATGCCGAGGTCAAAGTACGAACTTTCCTTTAGATTCCATGTCGAGCTCAACACAAGTAGCTGGCTCCTGTCTTCGCTTTCTTCAATGTCAATGCTACAGCCTTCAATCAGTTCCGTCTGTTTTTCTTCTACTGCTGAGCTTGAAGACCTCTCTCCGTTGCGCCTTTGTGGGTTGCCAAATTAAGACCTTTCCGGGATCAGTGTTCACGGCTGCGCTTCACCTGAAGAGGATCGGCTGCGAAACCTCAACGGTATGCTGAAGCGTCAGCGAAGGCCTCCGGCTGGGGCTGTATGGTACGCCCGAACTGCCTAATCTTGTCTTAAATTGCCGACCGGTGCCCTCTCAGACGGAGCTGAATTCGAGGACGATGCCTCATTGAAGTAACTAGATTAAGAGAGGTCAATACATCGATGACGAGCCTTCGGCTCGTCCGGAGAAGAATACACATGGGACGTCGGATAGGCACGTAGTCCGAGGACGGCTGAGACGACGACGACGATTTTCCAACTGTGTGGACCCTTTTGAACTGGCGCCTGGGGACCACTCAGACTACTTTTATTGGGGGTAAGCATGAAGGAGCCACTGATTGTGTGCGTATTGGACTAGTGTCTTGTTGCAAGGGCTCCACAAAAATTTCATAGGGGACCTCGGAGCAGTCCTCAGGGACGGCATGGTCCACGTGCGAACACATGCACCGATGTAGAGTTTCATTCCGAAGTCCACGCAAAGCGACATGGTCTGCAACGCAAGAGACCTTCAAAACGCACATTAAATTTATCCTGCGACTGTTCTTCCTGGATCTGAACCGACTGCAGAGGAAGCGCTCGCGATTACTGCAGTCGAACGCTCTATCACAAGCGGCACAGCACCGGTGATGGGATGAAAGAACCCCAGACCGTTAATGACGACCATCGCCTCCGAAATGGAGCCCTTTCTCACCTTCGCTGACTTTCATCTGCTACCTTGGCCGAGCGAGCTGATACGCGTCCGAGCAAAACGACTTAGAATATATACCCGCCGCGCCGCTTCAAGTCTACAGCAGCGATTGAAGGCATACCGGCAAGGAGAGACTCCATTGAGAGAAAGATCCCCCAACGGCAAAGTGCGACTCACCTTGCTCAAGAAAGTTTGCAACCACATTCAGACCCTTCTGGCTTCAAGTCCTAGACTACTTTCTTGATGATCTTGATGAGCGTCAATCGAGTCATCAAAGAAGTGAGAGTAGACTATTACTAAGCAATATTGGAAGACGGGCCGCCGTCTCTTGAGTCTGAAGGCAGATCGCATTGATGCTTGTAATGATTAAGATTGGCAACTTTGTGGTTTTGACGAGTTTTCAGAGACGCCCAAAAACGTAGTAGGACAGGACGATGCGTATGCGCTACATGGCAGGATGGGCTATCGGGGAGTTGTGGAATCTGTTCTGGGACACCAATGTGACTGGGACCAACCTCTTGTCAGGGGCTTTGCACCACTACTCTTGGCTTCCGTCGAGACACGATCATAAAAGAGCGCCACAGCTTCCAGAAGACGAAAAGAAGGGACAAAATTGTTACACAGCCCCACCGTTGGAATAAAGAGACTCTGCAGGCTCGAGAAAAGTCAAGACCATCTCATTTGTCCAAGGCAAAAGGGAAGCAACGCGCAACTGATACAGAAAGCACCACAGAAGCGTAGGAGGAGGCTCCAAAGATCACCAGTCGGTTGCTCAGGACCGTGCCTTCTCGCCATACCTGGCAGAGCATGTGAAGGACTATGTGATCCAGAACGCGGAGGGCGAAGAGCTGTTGAGGTCGTTCCAGGCGGAAAACCAAGGTACAAGCGGAATAGGATCGTCTGGACGATCCTGAGTTTTAACTCCCGTTTAAAGTCTGGCAGTATATTGTCAGCGTACCCCTTCATCGTCGCTTCAAGCTGAATGCATAGTACCCAATATTGAATTATTTTGCCTGCCAGAGAAAAAGTGATGCACATCGACAGCATGAATTTTCGGATTTTGAGATGAGTAATGCTTCAAATTTTTCTCCTTTTTGCCTGTTCCTAGTATTTGAATAAGTGAAATCCACCTTTTTTGGGAGGATGTGCAAAGTCGTCAATTACAGCAACATGCGCGATTGCGATCTGTAAAGCTCTCTCTGGATGCCGCAGCATGCGTTCGAGTAAAAGTGTCCGCGGGACACATTTTCACGTAAAAGCTTTCGCAACACGCCACGCGAGTGTAGACCGCGTCCTGCAGCACTTTCACGTGATGGTCAATTGCATATGGCGTGCTCTCATGGAAATCTTTCTTTTCTTCCGTGGCTTTCTCTCTGCGCGCCCAATATCGGTATGATTCCCCGCAATACTTCGGCCAGGATTTCAAGAGACATCGGCTCATTTGGCCAAGATTTGCGATCTCACGCCAGAGTCCGCCGACTTGTTCGGCGATGACCCAAAGCCGGCCTTTGCGGTCCTCGCACTCGGTGTCTCCCTTGCTCTCGCGGGATGGTCTCTGCTCCCGCAACCGAGCGGATTACCCCTCATCTTCGGCTATCAACTCACTGTGACCTCACTCCTTACATTCATGGATCTACGTTACGTACTTGGAAGATCTTTAAAGATGGCGGCACCTGTTGCAAGCATCGTCGGACTCACGTCGCTAGTCCTCAGCCCCACGTTGAGATTCGAGAGCCTCGCAGAGGTGGTAGCCTCAAGCGTGGCATTCTGTTGGCCGCTCTTTTTCACTTTGAGTGGGATCAATCAGCTACAAGTTCATCTGTTCCACAAAAAGGACATCGGTATGATGATATCATGGCTGCTTGCCATGTGCGCAGTAATGATCCTCATCATTGCGAGTGCGATCTGGTTATTGTGGGGCGACATGGAATGGAGAAACAAGGTCCTATCGACCTGCTCAGCTGCAAGCATTGTCTTCCTGCAGACCACCGTACTTGTTATCTTTCAACTATCCTAGCTCTTTTCTCGTAGCTGCTCAGTCTACCATCATGGTTCTGAAATTTACGTAGCACCACAGCCTGTGATAGTGCGGAGATCGTTGTCACCGAGGCACTTGAGCATGGCCAACTCCAAGGATGGCTCTTGGGAGAAAGGGTATGGGTGTCTGGAGATACCGCGTATGCTCGTCCGGGTCGCTAAGGGAGAGGACTAGCATGTCGAAAAATGCGCCGCACATCCTGTTCCGAGCTCAAATTTTACTTTGACGACCCTCCGTCTTTCCGTCACAAGCACTTACTCTAGTCTCAAGAAGCTAGAGTGCGCTTTCTCTGCCATTCTTATTCTCAGTCAAGCCGAGATGCAGTGCGAGCACCATGCACAGCACACATCTAAGAGTGCCGAAACGCAAGATTAGCACCTGTATCCCCCAAAGAAAACTTTAGCTAACACCAGACGCGAGACGATCATTGGGCGGCAGAGGCCAGGAAGCCCGTGCGCCGCCAGTACGCGACCTACTCACGGGTCTGATGGCCATCGATGGCGTTGCCCTTGTACAGCGCTGGCGAACGGGCCTAAGCGCGGCTCGTGTCGAGGTGCTTGCCGCCGCTCAGGGCGGCAGGGCCGACGCTGAAGAAGCGAAGTAGCTTGGCCATGGGGAAGGCATCGAGGCTGTGGATGCGGCTGGCCGCCTCGACGCGGGCGAGGCAGGCGGCAGCGCACCCACGACGTCGTCGCTCCTGACGAGCAGTGGCAGCCAGTCTGTCGTGCTCCAGTAGTAGCTGTGCCGAGAGTGCCGCTGAGCTGACCAAAGCGGATCGAAGTCGTCTGGGAGAGGGGCGAGGCGAGGAGGAGGTGCTCAGTAACCATCTTGCCCATCCCATAGCCAACTATAATTCCATAGCCAATTGTGTTCCCTGCGGCCGAGAAATGAACTCGTCCCCGAGCACGACGTCGTCGGGCACGGCCAGAATGGCTGAGATGGATCTGGAAAAGAGAATTTCAGACTCGTGGCTGACGTGCGATGTGAGCGCCATGTCGATGAGGTTGCGCATGCCCTTAGCAGGGGCTCGAAGCTGACTATCGACAGACACAGACTGTGTGTCTGTTGTTGAGCCAAGGGAGGCGAACCAAGCCTTGTCAGCGCAGGCATCAGCAAAGGAAGAGCAAGAGCGCACACTCACAGTTGGATCACCAGGCATTGCGGACAACGACGCTGACCGAGTCGCGCATCTGTTCGTACAGCGACTGCTCGAGGCCCAAACTAGGCTTCTTGAGGTATTTTCTGACGAGCTGCACCTTGCCGCCCTCGTCGAAAAGGTACGCATCGAGGCCGCGCACCTGTAAATTGTCCACCTGGCGCATTCGGAGATCCTGAAATCCCCGTCGGTTGACCTTGCGCACGCGGCTGCTCTTGACGAAATTCAACACCAGGCATGCACCCAGACCACCAGTGGCATCCGTAGCGAGGATAATGACGTCGGCTCCGTGACCATTGGCGTGGCCGTTGGCGTGACCATTGGCGTGGCCGTTGGCGTGGCCGTTGGCGTGGCCGTTGGCGTGGCCGTTGGCGTGGCCGTTGGCGTGGCCGTTGGCG